AAGAGGAAATTAGCAAAATGCTTTCAAGTGGTTTTATTTATAAGATGAAATCTATAAAATGAAGAGATAAAAGACATTCCTTTTAAAAGTGGATCATTCATACACACAGTTAATTAACAGCAAAACCAAGATAAAATATACATAATCAATTCTCAATTTGAATATCAGCATTTAAAACTTCATTTTTCACACATTAAGTCACTATAAAAAACTAAAGAACGTGATTTTAAAAAACTCTTAAATGCCCCCAAAACTTTATACTCTTTGATCTTATAAATCTAATTTTAGGAATTTTTCTTAAAGTCATAAACCCAAATAAGAAAGAAATATGCATCATGATATTCCTTGTAACATTATTTAAGACAGAAAAACAAAAATCTCTCCCCCTACCACGTTTCTCAAACTTTTAGGTCCAACAAAAGAGAATAAATGATAGTGAGTAAAAAAATACTTAAACATTGCAAAAGTGAAAAAGAGCAGTATACAAAATTTTACATACATAATATTTGCAACTACGATAAAAACATTAAAAAAATCAAAATCTAAGTAAATAAAAAAATACACAGAAAATATTAACAGTGATTGGGTTAAAATGCTGATATAATTTAAATTTTTTATTTTTACCTTAGTCTCTAAATTCTTTTTAACACTTATTTTTATAATGGAGTAACGCTACAATTGGATTTATATAACAAATATAAATCTAATAACGAAAGCGAAAAAACAAAATAAAACTAGAGACTTACAGCAGAATCAGTGGGCAAGTCTGTATCCCACTTGCGTCCTTTAAAGTCTCCACCTCTATTCCATCGAAATGAACTCATACAGCCTCCTTGAGAAAGTTCTGTAGCAACAAAGGTGAAATGAAAAAAAAAGCTAAGAATATGCAAAAAAGGGAAAAAGGCTAAGGGGTTACAATAAGAGAAGCATATCATCTTAAAAACCTGATCAAAAGACCCAAACAAACATAAAGAAACAGAAGATATAAAAGATTAATTTAAACCTATACCATGAAGAAAGATTCAGATAAATCCAAAATGTGAGACAAGACTACTATTCAGAATTCTTAAAAAAGTCAGTGTCACGTGAGGAAAAAAGGTGGCAGAACTGTTCTAGACAGAGATCCAAAAAAAGATTAAACAACACATACAATGTGTGAACCCAGATTTTATCCTGGTTAGGAAAAAAAAGGGCATAAAACATTCTTTGGACAACTGGGAAATCTGAATATGAACTGTGTATTAGAAAACATTATAGAAATATTGTTAATATTTAAGGTCTGATAACTGTGGTAATGTAGGAGAATGTTATTTGTTTTAGGAATTGTGTGCTGAAAAGTAACGATGCCTGCAATGTACTTTGAAATGGCAGAGCAAAAAAAAAGTGTATGTAGAGAGGGAGAATCAAATATGGAAAATATTGATAACTATTCAATCTAGAAGGCCCATACTGGGTTCATTGTACTTTTAAAACTTTTTGTATATTTGATATATAATAATATTTTATGTATACTTTGTATATGTATGCACATATACATACTTTTGGATATACAAATATCTTGCTACCTATGAGGCAATCCTGCCAAAAAACTGTAGCCTGAATTTTCAGAAGTAAAACTACTCCATGGGGATGCATTCCACGGGGAAGCAAAATCCACACCATGGGAAACACTACAGGACAAACAACCAGTTCTTTGAATAAATAAGTTACAAATTAAAAAAGGATAGAGGGGAAACCTATAGCTTGCAAGAAACTTATATGTATCAACAAGCACAACATGTGATAAGATTTGAATCCCAATTCAAATAAACAATACCAAAAAAAGTAATTATACATTTTTTGAGACAGTTGAAAATTTGTATATAGACTTTTTATTTCATAATAGAAAGAAACTGTTAAAAGAAGAGGTAGAGGGATACAAACAGGGCAGAGGCAACCAGGGACTGCTGGTTGTAGGGACCGGGTGCTATGTACGAGAGGGTTGAGCAGACCATTGTGTCTTATGTATGTTTGAATTCTTCTTAGGTAAAAAGTTTTTTAAAAGTCATGATAAATGCTTATTCCTGAACCCCAGACCAAACCTAGGTGAGAGAGGGGGAGAAGGCACCATAACATTCTCAAATGAAGATTTATGATAAATCTGTAGAATAAAATACTATTTCTAAAATTTGTTCTGTTAATGAGAACATTTTACAGTTTATCCAAATACGACAAGTAGGGAGGTAAAAAGAGAATGTAATGTGTGGGAGTATAAGGGAGGCTAAACTTCCTGCTTCTCGGCCAGCCTCCTCAGAAGATTATATTTTTCCCAAATAATCAGAATATAACAGAAATGTTAAGAAGCAGCATCATAAATATGACATAAAAATTCAAAGAAATAAGAAAAAAATTCAAAGAAATAGAAAAAATTCAAAGAAATATGAAATTATAAAAAATGTCATAATAGCATCCATTTTTGGTAGTTTAAGAGTAGAAAATGAGGGAAATTATTCACTTGGGCCTATTTAGCTCATATTTAAGCTTCCCTATATAGAACAAAATTACTAATTAAAATATTCAAGACTAAGTATATTATTTTGACAATTCTTAAGCACATAAAATATAAAACCCAAAAGTTGTTTAAGTATAAGCCTTAATCAGGCCATAACTAAATATATATTTAATATAAGATCACACTTAGTAATACTTTAAATTTTTCAAAAAAAATGTTCCTTGTTACCTTTATTTATAAAATCTCAAAGTAGTGAAAGGCTCTCATTGTTTCCCTCTTCATATCAATAGTTACCTTTGATCCTTTCACACAAGTATTCCTGATTTGGAGTAAGGTCTAGATACTGCACAATTGTATTCAGAGTTGGAATGAGAGGCGCTTTGACCAGAGCAGCTTGTTTCAAGCTAGTAATACTAGCCTCTGTTAAAAATAAAATACACAGCACACAGGTTATTATTATACATCTCTGAAAGAACGTAAAATGCTCTTCCCTCAATAGATGTTGAAGGAATACATGACGGCTATAATAGTTTATCTTAACAATTTGCATTATCTACTTTACGTCTAATTTATTTTATCATTTCTGGCAAGGTGGCAAGATTTAGACGGATGGACAGACACACACAGACACACACAGACCCACACAGACCCACACAGACACACACACACACACTCCCTCTCTCTTCAAAAGCAGCAGCCAAATTCATGTTGTAAGACCTATAAACAACTTACACACAAAAGATGTATAAAAAAGATATGTATTTAAAAAGTACAATTCAGCCACTGAAAATAATACTGGAGAATATCTGAAGTAGAATGGTGGGGAAGCAGGTAACAAAACAGTATAACCTCAATTCAATTAGAAATATATACATATATATGTACCGTATTTCCTCAACTCCTAAAATATATATTTTTCATGTTCTTAAATTACAGTATAACTTACAATTGATATACATAGTTAGTGTCATAGTATTTTCTCCAAAAACAATAACTGTGACTAAATTGGTAGAGGTTATCTCTGGAAGCAGAATTACGGATAATAATCTTCTTTGTGTACTTCTGTACTTTTCAAATTTTCTACTTGAACATATGTATATTGCTTTTGTAGTCATAAAGCAATGTTCTTTCTTAAAAAGCACATCACACTGGTATAATGTTAGAAAAGATACATATTTTTATAGCTTATAAAGAAAGCTCAAAAAGGATAAGCACAGGTTCAAATAACATTACTGAGACCTAGGAAGCAAGCATTCTGGCTTTGGAGTCAGAGAGCTGTGGCCTCAAATCGCTGCTCTGTGATACTGGACCAGTTAATCAATTTGAGTCTTAGTAGCCTCATCCATAAAATGGGGCACTAACAGCTAGCCTTCAAGGTTAAGGTGAAGGCTATGTAAATTACATACGAAGCATCTGGATACCCAATAAATAAGACACTTTAGGGACGTACAATTCTATTCTCAGTCCAGGGAATAAAGATTGATTAAACGATGCCAAAAGCAAGTAGAAAGCGCTGATGTGCAATCCAAAGCACTTACATATTTCAAGGAGAAATTTATTCTCCAGAAAGAGCTAGGCGACTACAATGTTCCTTACTTTTGAAACCTAATTACTTAACACTAAATAAGTTACAGTATATATTTTAGGCAAATTATATTTTACGGAACTTTACCAGATTTTTAGCAGATAAGAGATTTGAAAATAGGTGATTTTTAAATTAGCATTATTATACATTCTTTATGCTTTGTACAACTTTGTAATTAATATCTGACATGGGAACTGTATTTAGAATATATAAAAAACATCTATAGCTCAATAATAAAGAGATAAATAACCCAATTAAAATGAGTAAAGAATATGAAAAGTCATTTCTCCTAAGAAGGTATATATGAATGGCCAATAAGCACATAAAAAGATGTTCAACATCATCAGCCATCGGGAAAATGAAAATCAAAACCACGCCCGTTAGGACAACTATAATAAAAAAGACAAGTATTGTTGAAGATATAGAAACTGGAACCTTAATAAACTGCTGGTGGGAATGTACAAAGGTACAGCTGCTTTAGAAAAAGAATCTGGCAATTCCTTAAAAGGTTAAACATGGAGTTACCATACGGTGCAGCAGTTCCGCTCCTAGGTAATACCCAAGAGAAATTAAAACACATGTCCACACAAACACTTGTACATAACTATTCATAATGGCCAAAAAGTGAAAACCACCCAAATGTCAATCAACCGATGACTGGGTAAAGAAAATGTGGTAGAGCCATACAATGGGATATTATTTGGCAATAAAAAGAAACGCAGTACTGATAAATGCTACAACATGAATGAACCTTGAAAACATTACGATAAGTGAAAGAAGCCAGTGCAAAGGACAACTTATTGTGTGCTCCCATTTATATGAAATATTTAGAACAGGCCTATTGATACAGAAAGTAGACTGGTGGTTGTTTAGGGCTGGTGGTGGGACACGGGCGACTGCTAAAGGGTATGTGGGGTTTCTTTTTTGGATGATAAATATTCTAAGATCGATTGTGGTGATGGGTGCACAACCCAAAACTTTGAATTGTAGACTTAAATGGGTAAACTATATGTTAAGTAAATTACATCTCAATAAAACTGTTCTATAAAAAAAGCTATATTATAAAGTTTTTTTCTTCACCTCAAGATAACAAAGGAAGTTGTTAAATAGCCCACTACAAGGAGAAATTTTCCACTTGGCAGATTCACTGAAGGTAAGACAAACGTTGGGCTCAATTTTCACATACCTCCTATTTGCAGCTCTGGACAACCCATGCGTCTCATCTGTGTGCTGACAGACTCAATCTCTTGTACAAGTGGCACTAAGATTGTCTCATTGATCCACTAGGAAGAAATGAGGTATAGATTTTATACATATAATTCTAAAGCATTTCTCAAATAATTATTCATAAAACTCTAAGATTTTTTTTATTGTCTTGTACTTGAATATTAATGAGTATGATGAAAGAGAATAGGCATAGTAGTTAACTGAAGTCTAGAGAGAGTTAAGTAAATATGCTACTGGACTGTAAGTTAACTAAGTTATATTCTTAAATCATATATGCCTGTTTTTTCCTGAAGAAAATATAAAACTTTCAGTTTTATGTCAAGTTTTTCTTATATGTTTCTGTAATTATTATACTTAGCTACAAGGATAATCTTCAGTTTACGTTTCTAGGGTAATTATTCACACATTTATTCATGTAGTGTTTTTACTGGTTTGTAATTAGTAAGACAGTTTTCAAACTAACATAATTGATTAAGTCCCAACAGGCTCACCCAATTCCCTAACCATGTAGAAAACAGATGTATTATATTTGAAACTGGTTTGTGAATATTACTATATTACTTTAGGACTAGGAATTTCAAATGCGACTCTGCATGGCTAATATAAAACTAATTCTGGGAAATAAAAACACTACGGAAATAGCCCATCTGGTTTGTGTGTGTGTGATATATTTTGTGTGTGCCTCTGCAGCATCTTTTATCACTTCTGTTTCCATGCTTCTGTTTCACCATAAAACAAAAGGATGAAAAAAAGTTTCAGGTGAAATACATGTCTACAATTCTTTTTAAAAAATCCAAAAAAAAACCAAAACAGAACAAAAAACCATTTCAGAATCCTGTAGCTTAAGGAATTTGTATAAGGGATTGTTTATATTTCTTCTAAGCTAATACTCCCAATCAAGACTTTATATATTTCAAATATATTAGCATTTTAGACAAGACAGTAAGTGGAAATAAAAAACTACAGTTCTAGGACATCGTTTCACTCATTCATTCTTCCAACTTTTATTAAATGTATCCTACTTGCCAGCCACTCTTTGGCTGCAATGAAATGATCTAAAGAGTCCAAGAGAGAGAGATCTAGGTCTCATTCCCAGAAAGTCTGATTGAGTATTTCTAGGGCTGGGCTCATGAATTTTTGTTTTTAAAAAGCCATCCAGACTTCTAGATCAAGAAAGTAGGCTATTTTTCACCACTCCCTCTTGATATCTGTTTAAATTATTGTAAAAGAATAAAAAAGGTGTACAAGTGATTTCAACACATTTCTAGATGATGCAGAGTTGATGGATGACTGTTGGAGGATGAAATGGGAAAAGTGGCGGCCTCTACAGAATCTAAGAGGACACCTGAAGGGGAGGAGGGGCCAATTTGCCCAACAGAACTTGGGGCATACAGGTACTACAGAGAGCCAGAGAAAGGTAGGATTGAGACTAGGGAACTTACTCACTCTGTATATTAAGAGTTGGCCTTCCCAACCTCTAGGCCAAAGACAGAGATGGTTCTTCTCTGGAAAAATCGAAGAAATTGATATATTCTGACATAGCTTTAAGCATATATATTATCTTCTCTTTCTAACTGACGTTTTCTGAGGGCAAGGACCTCATTCTTGTTTCCCTCACATTTCTAGACAAGTAATAGCCTCTGACATGAAAGCTCTTTAAAAATAAAATTGAGATGCTGGGAAAGGGATGAAGATCTTAATAAACTATACTGTTCCTTTATTCACTCAAAATATACTAATTTACTAACCATGGAGGGGAAAAAATAGCCTATAAAAATGGACACCATAAGGTAAATGTCATATTTATCCTGTGCCAGCCACATTGCATTTTTTATAATTAATTCTGTTATCTAATTAACAATTAACATCTCTAATTGATGTTCTAATAATATACTTTATATGTTAAAAGGCACTAATACTGTCCCCAAAGAGTAATGTCAAACTTACATTTCTGAACTTAGCTGTCCATGAATCCATATGATCAAGAAGTTGTCTATTCATAGTCACTCTCGCCCAAACCTATTAAAAATGTTTAAGATGAATAATCAGTGAGGAAAAATCTTGCCAGCAATCATTCTTTCCCCTACCTTCAAAAATATTTGGAACACTTTGAAACAAACTTCACAAACATCAATAATAATCTAATTATTATGCAACAATTTTCTTAATTATGCACTTGGTTGCTATCCATGTAGACATATCCTTATGTTGGTACATTTAAAAAACATTCTTCTTGTGTTTAAGAACAAAATTAAAATCCTGTATTTGGTCTTAAACTGATGAAGTTACAGACTGTCAACTGTTCTAATCCAAATATATTTTAAAAGCAAGAGTCTTGTATATGTTAAGTACAAACTGATACTTGAGATACCCTTTAATAAATGAATGCAGAAAAGTTTTAGGCAGGACACTGATGTCAACTATGTGTCATAAAGAGTAAAACATGCAATATAATTCAGTTTGAGGCACATGAAGTTAGAAAGGAGCCTTTCCACTGTTCAGTGTGTGCCAGATTTATGTTTCTAGTTGGTAAAAGTGGATGTTACAGAAAACAAATGTTCCAGAAACAGAAGGCTCTCCAATAATCTGTAAATCATAAATATTAAGTTATTTTTATTTTCCATTTACCTCCTCTGCAGCTTGTTTAGAACTAAGATCGGCTTCATCTTTGTTGGCGCACGGGGCCTGAGACCTACAGGCAAGCTGATACTGAAACTTCTTTAAGGTTTGTGCATAATCCCCCACAGAACGACTGTAGTTCCAGAAAGTAGGGCTGGTGGAAGGAGAGGTAGAATCTGGGCTCCCTACAATGATTAAATCAAAGAGTATCAGTGTGTTGTGGTAATTCTGACATCCAGAGTTAGAGCAGGAACACAGGTATCCAGACTGAGACAATGGCAACCAAGGAAGGCAAAGCCTCAAGGGGCTCTCTCCTCCCTCCTCTCCAACATTACTTGTGCTAAAAGTTAACAAGGTCATTTCTAAGCAGTGTTAATTTAAAATCCAAGTGGTTGGAAGTGTTTATTTTTGTTGTAAAACTAAGCTTGTTTCATTCTCCAAGAGTTTTAAATGATTCACTGTGGAAAAAAAAGACAAATTTCTTCAGAAAGTAAATAGGCTAAAGAAGTTCCTTGAAATTTTAGAAGCTCTTTCTGAATGGGGTAACTACAGCCTCCTGTTAATAAACTACGCTTTGGGCTAGAAGCTAAACTCACTCTCTCTTGCACTATACCAGAGTAATTATTACATTTTAAGGTCATAGTTTATCTCTTTTCCCAAATAGAATTCGAGCTCATTGAGGGCAGGGAATATTTTTTCCCCTAGCATTTGGCACAGTATCTGAATAAATAGCAAGTTTTCAAAGATAATTATATGATACTCATAAAGCGTTTTTTTTTAGTTTAACTGATATGAAAAATATCAATTGATAGTTCATACCCACACACAATCAAATAGAAACAAGTTTTTTTAATCTTAGCAGAATTTCTAAGAGGAGTGACTATAAAATGATAAAACTGGTTTTCTTATGACATTTATTTACAATCACAAAGGATGAGAAATCGTGAAAGCAATATGTGGCAATGTTTTAATTCACAGCAACAAAACCCTGAAGGTTAGCCAGTCTTGTGCTAGTAGCTTGGGTGAATATTAGTATGTTTCATGCTGGCCTAAAAATAAGTAATTATGTAAAGACATATCATACTTGGTATAAAGATAAATTTTCAGGTAGGACTTCTAGCAAAATTGACTTCTAGGAATGAATTAATGTCAAGAAAACAAGTCTTAAACCAACACAAACAATTTAACAATAAGGAATAAAAAAGGAAGGTAAAAGCCATGGTCATGATAGAGCACAAAATTATTCTATTTTGACTATTCAAAAATAATCAAGCTTTCTGAGAGGATATGTGAATTTGAGAAAAATTTCAGTGAACACTGGCTTTAGAGGACAAGAGTTTTATCTAGATGATAAAAATAAAATGACAGAAATAAGTTTTAATATCTGTTGTGCATCAGCCAAAATACCAGCAAAATATATATAGCAAGCAGTGACAAAATAGGACCCCTCTGTAATGACCACCACCACCAACAGAGCAGCAAAAAATCTGTAGCTAGAGAACTCCAAAGACCTAAGAATCGAAGCACAAAGAGATTTGGAATTCTGGCAACATAACAAACCAGGTATCTCTCACCATATAGATCTAAAAATGTTTATTAAACACCTGTTTATTAAACACCATGTTTATTAAACATGGTGTTTATTAAAATGTTTATTAAACATCATTCAAACGAATAATGGAACTTGCAAAAAAGATATGAAGAACAGCTAGAAATGAAGAAGGAATTGAAAATCAGAGTGCCCTGTTTGTAAGTTGATGCTGCAACTGCTCTGGAAAATTTTGTAGGTTTTGGGAAACCTATCCGCTTCGATATCAGTGGCCAAATGGGAACAGAAAATGAAGATGTAGACCCACAAGAGGTAGAGGTAGAGACCTTTCTCCTACCTCCATCCATGGTACCTGGCACAGGGCCAGGAACCTCAAAGGGCCATATTCTCAGTGAATAAGAAAATAATCTGCCTACTAGCACTAGGAAATAACAAGAAAATTTGTGTGTTTTAGGTTGTTGGGAGATTAATCCAGGTACTTCAAGCCTAGAAATTACTTAAGTTAGTTCAAAGTCAATGATATTCCTTAGGCACTAAGCAGAGGCACGTACAAAACTGCTAGGAGGAGATAAGACATCCAGTCTGAGCAGGATAGAAATAGCACAGATAATACTCTACTGAAGATGAGCTTACCAAAAACAAACAAAAAATACATAAATCACAAGGAAAAAAGCCTCAAGCATGAGTCAACAAGACAAAAATGTTAGTATTAATCTCCACGAACTTTAGATAAGTGAACCATTGGACAGAAACTTTGTAAAAGTATGTTTAAAGTGATTGAGATAGGAAAAGGAATTGAAAACACAGAAACAAGACACTCTAAAATAAATTAGGCATATCTGAAAGAGAACAAAACTTTGAAAAATGAAAAAAAAAAGTCAAATTAAAAAACTCAATGAGTTAGTTAAACAGTTTAGACACTGCCAAAGAAAGAACCAAAGATTGAGTCCAAACTGGCTAAAACAAACTGTGGTGTGAGGAGTAAGACAGAAAGTTCTTTACAGAAGAATGCCAAACTACTAAATGTAGAAGAGATGAAAGTATTAGAAAGTCTCCATTTTGAAAACACCATTGTATTTACTTACTCAGGAAAGGATCATCAAGAAGCTTGACTAAATGAACAAACATGAAGCCTGGTATTTAGACCATGCATTCTTTTCATTATACCAAGAACCATTTATAAAAAATGATCATATTGCAGGCCTAAATGCAATTCTCAAAAAAAATACCAAAAAATTAACAGGGTACAGATCAGAATCTCTAGCCACAGTACTATTAGCTTAGAGAAAAAAAGAAATGATAAACAAGCCTTTCATTTAATATGTTTGGAAATTAAAAGCACCAATCATCAATAATACTTCCAAACAATAATACTTGTAAATACTCCTACTGGTCAAAGAAGAAATAAAAAAGGAAGTCAGAAAAAAAATCTGGATATGACAAAGATATGCAGAGAGTAAACAGGTTGTTCTTTGTATTATACCCTATAATTTTCAGTATACTTGAAATATTTCAAAATTTAAAAAGAAGAAAAAGCATGTATTGACAAATAACAAGATAATATTGATTTGTTTCTTTGACATTTGTGGCACTTCCAGGCAAAATTATATTAAAAATCAATGGAGAGATTGAAAGTGACACAAAGAGCCATGGTCCAATAACTGGCGTCCTCATTGTGGCCATGCTTTAGCACCTAATGTGCTTTCTGTGAAAGTTCCTGAGGGGGAAAAATCATTACTCTGCTCAATAACCTAATTTGGTTTCAAATAATTGATTTTGTAATAATCAAATCCACCCCAAACAGATTAAGATTTGCTAACAGTGTTTCCCCAGGTAAATTAAAGATAAGTTCAAAAATGTTCTGAAAAAACAGCAACACTTCTCGGGTAAATCCGCGCTCTGTCTTTCATCCGTCTTGGCCACACCAACCTTCCCAAGGTCCCCAGGGAAAGGAGACAACTGTCAATTCAGTGAGCTCTGCCATGAGCCACTTCAAAACATTTTATAGCCTTAACATTTAAAGAGAAATTACAACTTCCGTTATGTGAAAAAGCTTCCAATTTTAACGGGGATGAAATGTTCAAGATTTCTCAGTTCAGCTATATTTTACTTCTTAAGTTTGGTGAGCTTAATTCTAAATGCATAAAATAGAAAAACAAAATGTTTCTGCTTAGCTACATAAAGTATATTAGTAAAAGAGACTTACATATTTATATATGGGTAATCAAAGTAATGAAATCGGTTAAGGATAATAAAAAGTGACACTAAAAATACGTGTTAGATCTAAATAAAGTATATACATACCCAGCTTAACTCTGTGCTGTTTCTCTTCTTCAGTTCTAAGAAAAGTATCCAAAGTTCGTAGGTCTGTCATGTAGTCTTCTTTGTCAGTAGGAGAGTTATAGACAGTGGGTGAAGAACGGTAACGAGATCTCAACCCACTGCTCTCCACTGGTCCAACAGTGGTAGGGTATGAAGAAGGAGGAGAGGGACTATAGCTTGCCAACTACACAAAATAAAAGAACTTTATCTTATTTTTCTTTAATTGAAATTCATTTTTGTTTTTTGACTTTCAAAAAGTAATATACCAATTAGAATGGCCAAAATCCAGAACACTCACACCACCAAATGCTAAGGTTGTGAAGCAACAGGAATTCTCATTCACTGATGGTGGGAATGCAAAATGGTAGAGCCACTTTGGAAGACAGTTTCTTATAAAACTAAACATACTCTCACCGTACGATCTAGCAATCATGCTCCTTGGTTAAAAACTTATATCCACACAAAAATCTGCACACAGATGTTTATAGCAGCTTTATTCATAACTGCCAAAACTTGGAAGCAACCATGTCCTTCAGCAGATGAATGGATAAACTGTGGTACGTCTGGACAACAGGATATTATTTAGCACTAAAAAGAAATGAGCTATCAAGCCATGAAGACATGAAGAAATCTTAAATGCACATTACTAAGTGAAAGAAGCCAATATGAAAAGGCTACATATAGTACAACTGCAACTATATGATTCTGGAAAAGGAAAAATTATGAAGAAAGTAAAAAGATCAGTTGTCAGGGGTTAGGGTGGAGGTGGGGGGAATTTTAGGCAGTGAAAATACTCTGTGTCATAATGGTGGGTACATGTCCTTATATATTTGTACAAACATATAGAATGTATATCACCAAAAGTGGGCCTAATGTAAACTATGGACTCCGGCTGAGAATAATGTGTCAGTGTAGGTTCATCAGCTGTAACAAATGGACCACCTGGTGACTGATGTTAACAGTCAGCAAGGCTGTTCCTGTGTTGGGGCAGGTGTGTGTGGAAAATCTCTGTCCCTTCCTCTCGACTTTGCTGTGAGCCTAAAACTGTTCTAAAAATAAAGTCTATTTTTTAAAAAAGTAATACATGCATGTTTTAAAAAATGAAAAGTATGAAAAAAATAAGTCATGCTTATAACTCTACCACCCAGAGATAATACAATTGCTTTTCGCATTCTATGTACTTTCAAATCTTTAAATGTATATGGCTAAGTCAATATATTTTTGTTTTCACATAAATGAGACAATACTATTTAGTTTCATATCCCTGTTTTAAAGTTAACCAAGCATTTCCCTATAAAAATTCCTTTATAAATATCATTCCTACCGGCTGTACAGTATTTCATTGTACAAATATGCCATAATTTATCCTTACTTTCTCTTACCCTAGACTTAGATTGTCTACAATTTTTTCCTACTATTAAATAATGTTATGAATAACACCTTTGTACATAAACCACTGCTTAATTTCATGACTTCGTTTAGGAGATTCCTAGAACTGAAATGATTTGATCAAAGCGTATGACACTTTAAATACATATTCCTATTCTATTCAGTGAAAATACTGCATTAAGTTATATGCCTATCAAAGGAGAACAGACAGGAGTAACTATTTTGGCATATGTCCATCAGCATTGCTATTTTACACGTTTATTTGACCCACTAGAATTTTTAAAAATGTATATTTAATTTGCATTTCCTTGTACTTATGAAGTTAAACACTTTAAAAATACAATTACTGGTCACTGGTATTTATCTACATTACTATTTACTCCAGTACATTGACAATTTTTTTCTGCTAGGGTTTCATGATAAATTTATATTCAGCTGTAATAAATTAAGGATTAATAAATCTTATATTTGCTTAATGCTAGTTGAAAATAAAATGTTACTTCTCTTCCACGTTGATTTTTTATTTCAATGAACATATTAAATCCTTATGTACTTGCTCAAGGAGCATAATATTTTATGCTTGATGTACATTATCTTATTTCATCCTCTCAATAGATAAATATTAATACTGTACTAATTTTAGATAAGAGAAGTTAGGTAACTTGCTTAAGATTGTACCAAGATTTCAATCCAGTTTTGATTGTAGAGTTTACACTTTTAACATTTTTTATTGGCTCAGAATATCTGTTCAATCAATAACAAACTGTTGATAATTGTTGAAGATGGGTAATAGATACAAATTCACTGTACTAGTCCTTTTATTTTTGTGTATGTTTGAAAATTTCCATAATTGAACGTTTAAAAGGTAACTGTTTCTTGAAAATTTAAAAGAATTCGATGGTAAAACTTCAGGGCCCTTATATATTGAGGATGTATTTGATTAACAGTTTTTAAATTTTCTTCCTTGATTTATTTAGATTTTTCTACTTTAGTAAATTTTGACTTTTCCTCATAAAAATAATTATTCATTAACTTTTCCAACGTATTAATTCAGTTAACACTTTTATATTATCAATATTCCATACTCTAAGAAAACAAAAATGAATAAAAATGATCTTCTGCTCACGGTTACAATCTAGCTGAAAAAAAATAATTCAGCACCGTTATGAACTTCACATACAGACCTATTTAGTACAGATTAATAATTGTTTTTAAGAAATGAAGATAACAAATATTCAAGAGTAAACCATGGTGTAATCACTAGATGAGTATCAAGTAGCCATTAACAAATGTTCGAGGGACAGGACTATACGTGATTTTTCGTCTCATTTTCTAACTTTCTTTAAGATCATATAGTAAGTACTTGTCTCATGAAAACAAACTAAAACTAATTTAGAGTCATATTTACCTATGGATTATGAATTATCACTATATATACATTTCCACATAATATTTAACTTGTACAAAATTTTCTAAATTCTATTACTTGCCAAAATTATTACTGAGTAACCAGTAGTATGAAATTTTATTACAAAGAAATATTATATAAAAAAGTAAGGGCACTGTGTTGATTTCCTCTCCAGACAGTCCTCATTTAACTAGTAGCTACAATCTAACAAGTGAGAGCACTTGAAAATGTGACTACTCCCCTTTTAATGGCCCTTATAGTCTTATGCTTCAGCCAGGAGTCAAAATTTCAAATCTGTCAATTTTGCTTCTATCAAGACTAAAAATCAGAACACTGTGGGAGTCAGAATGAAGATTTCTACTCATCCCATGGAGAGTGTCCATACTCAAGAGTCAGACTACCAGTTTTTAGCTTAGATGTTCCAACATAATGAAAAGCATTGAAGTTCTACAAGGATATGCAAAAGTTTCACATAAAGAAGCAAAGAAAGGGAAAACATGAATAAAGGAAACTAAAATAAATGATTATAGTTTCAACTTGTAGAGATCCTACAGAATGATCCTAGATGGTGAACCTCAGTTCATTTCTTTGCAAAAGCTGTATCTTATTTTCAATTTAAAATGTGGTATAAAGAACTTCTATGTGTCGGGAAATCTGGGTTCTATTCTTGGCTCTTAAATGGGTGATTTGGGCAAGTCAATTACCTACCGTTCCCTGGTTTCCTCACTGACAAAATCAACTTACTAGATTTTCAAGGTACCTCCCAATTCTAAAATAATGTGACTGGCCAAGAAAAAAGAGTCATTACCTTATTATAACCACTGATGGGTGAGTAGGTCACTCCAGGGCTATAAGAACCACTGCCACCTGATGACAGACCTTGTAGCTGAGGGCTGTATCCAGTCATACAGCTGGTGGTGAACTTGGGACTGGTACTGGGTGAACGAGATGGGCTATAACTCAACACACTCTGACCCTGAATTGAAGGAGAAGGTGGAGAGGGAGGGATTTGGGTTGCTGTCAGATCATGTGGAGGAGTAGTCTGTACAACTAGAAGAAATAAATAAACAAATAAATAGTAAATAAAAAAATAAAATGTGTGTATATATATAAACAAAATTTCTATGAAAACATTTAATGAACTAAATCTTTTTCTTCAGGAAAAAGGAAATAGAGTGACCTGGTTGTTAAGTTACATAAAGTATTATTACCAAAAGATACAAATTAGTTGTTCACCATTTCCACAGAATTCAAAATAAGAAATTAGCTTCAATGCAGCAAGAGTTAGTAATTACATTTTAATTGTAATTTTAAATTATAATGGAACAAACTTTCATGAGGCTGTTGAATGCTAGTTCCATTCAATTTACACAAATAGGAATGATAGTCATTGGTCTTAAGACAATTTATTATAGACCTGTTTAATATAGTTGAACCAGATGGCCTAAGTCCCTTCCAGCTGAGTCTATTAAAAGGAAAAATTAAATGGAGAAAGATTTATTGCCAACCTTTCCCCCACCTTTGAAAAGATATAAAACACTTACCAGCTGTTTTCAACCCTAAAAGTGTTTGCTGTCCGGGGCTAACAACCAGACTTGTTGGTGCCACAGTATATTTGAAATATCTCCAAAAATCAAATAAGGCATTTAGGCTGAAGAGAGATGCAAGAGCAAGCTCTGTAAGAGAAAAACAATTTATTTTAAAAAAGGAGGGGGGAGAGGAACAATTAAACGTGGGGAAACGAACTCTTCACACTTTAGCAAATTAACAACAAAATTGAAAACTATCTTCTTATTCCTCATAAGTTACCATTTAATGAAAGCTTATGATGTCTAGGGCACTTGTGAGTTTCAAAATATTATTACTAATCCTTACAACTTGTACAACATTTTCACCTCCCTTTTAAAGATCCATCAGCAGCTATAGAGAAGCCAAGTGACTTTTGCAAGAGCAGAGCTAATTACTGAAGCCATGATTCTAACTCAGGTATGCAGACTCCAAAACTTTTTTGCTGTTCCCCTTGCCACACCACCTCTATCACAGACTTTAGATGAATGTATGTGTTAGACTATAGAATTTACTTTAATGTCTATAGGGATTCTTTATATCCAAGGACTACTGAAGAGCAGACAGCAGAGGACAGGGGAGAGGAAGAAATGAAGAGGAGGAGGAAAGCAGCAGTGGTGTAGGTATCTGGTTGGTCTTAGAAGGTGAAAAGGTAGAGAAGTAGGAAAGGCATTTCAGGGAGAGTAACAAATACAAATCTCACTACCCTCAAACTTTTTGTCACAAAACTCATTATTACTTAGAATTGTATTGTTTAATTTGATTGTCTCCTCCACAAGAATGTTCCTTCCATGAGGGCAGGGACCTTTTTCCCTTCCTGCTGCATTCCAAGTTTTTGGAACACAGTAGGCACTCAAATATTTGTTGAATCAGGGCATGATTACTAAGTTGAATTAAACTTGAATGCAGTTTTTCATTGGTAGTAACTCTAAATCACCGTGAATATTACTTACCAATATACCAGAGGGGCCAGTACGTCACATTATAATATGAACTGATCAATTTTCCAGTCCTGAAAAAATTAGAAAGGCTTTTCAATGTTAAAAAAAAAAACAAAAAAAAACAAAACAAACACAAAAACTGGTGGAACCAACCACCAGTCTCTTAAAATTTTTTCCCCTTTTTTTTGCTAATTAACTTACATTTCGGTATATATCATTCCAGCCACAGATACATTTAGGAGTCCCCAGGCTAAAACCACTTTCCTAGCTTCTGTTTCTTTTCTCATCTTGATGGTTCTGTCAATAAGGGAAGCACTAGGGTTTGGTTCGCCTTGCATCTACCCAAAAACAAGCATAAAAATTAATCAAAAGAAACCAGTTAAGAAATAACACGTGTCCTTCATAACAGTAACTAAAAATTGCATACTTTTCCTCACTTTTAAAATGTCTTTCCAAAATTTTTTACATTTTAATGTGAAAAGGGAACTTTAAATTATAACTTCATTGGCAACGTACTGTAAAAGAACCGGCTGGTCACTTCAGAAAACAATACTTCCAATAAATAAAAATGTCTTATTTTGTAATTTAAGGGTAGTTATGTCTGCCAATTACTCTATATTGTTTTGGAATATGTCACAAGGACCAAGGGCTAATTTAAGAAACTCAAAATACCAAGTTTTAGGAGAAAATATTCCATTTAAGCTATAAGCCATTAAAGACTCTCCTCCAGCCTTGTGCAAACATTAAATGCCTACGATCTCAAACAGCCTTGCACTCGGACCAAAGCACGCGAGGTCTCCATTTCGCGTTTTTGATAAAAGTATGAGTTTTAAAAGGCGAGTAATTATGCTGTGAAGGGAATGAGGGCAAGCGGAGAGAAGTGTGCATTCAGTTGTGGTCTACACTGGGACTTATATTTACTTTGTTTTGATAGGCCTCATCACTTGCAGACGACTGTAAGATGTGTTCCAGCTATATGGAGTCGAATTCCACAGAGTACAAAGAAGTATCCTTCCCGCCACCCAGCCGGAGTCAAAACTCCCCAGTCCGGACAGCTTCCCTCCCTGGCATTCCCAGCACAAACTTTAGCAACCCCTACTGCTTCTGTCCTCCGTTCCACTACAGGTGGCGGGACACCTGGCTGCATGCCCCTTTGGCATGAACCGCAGGCACGGAACTCCCCCAGGCCCGCGTGGACTCTGCGTCCAGGAAGCACAAAAATGACCCCGAAAACGCACCATGGTCTTCGGCCGGAAGCCGCGGGCTCGCGCCACTCTCTACTGCACTTGCGCGAAACCAATCGCTAAAGCAAAAGAGACCGACTGGCGCGCCTGCAGTTACCGGAAGAACGGGGCTCTATCTTCTCGCGAGAAGAGGAGAGTTGGGAGGGGGCGGAGAGGGACCGGGACTAAGAGTGTTGCCAGGGAAACTGCTGTTGGATTTGTGGTTCCCACTTAGGTGTGGGGAGAAAGCTGAAAAGCAAAAATTCAGACCGGGTTCTGAACCCGCAGTAAAAAGTAATAACTGTAGCAAGCTGAATTTCTATATATTAATATAATTTTAGCTTCCTTAGGGCATTTATGGACCTATTTTAAAGCAGATTTTATTAAGCAGGGTGGTTAATTGTAGGATAGAGTATGTGATAATGTGTCCAGACACCATTAGCAATGACAAAGCATTTCTCACATATCTTTTAAAAAAAAGTCAAGTGTTCTGATCTGATGTTATTTTTTATTGGTTCGTGCAATGAAGGTGCAGCAGTAATAAGGAAAAATAAAATGTTTTGTTAAAGTTGCTAGTGGTTTTGAGGTTTAAAAAATAATCTTTATTTTCCTGCATTTTGTTTGGAAGAACTAATCTTGAGAAAATGTTCATCATGGAGTTCATTTGTATTTAACAAATACAAATGCCTACAGTGTGCCCCTGAGCCAGGCTCAGAGATGTAAAAGCTCTACGTTTACTGCCTGGAGGAGCTCAGTCCCGGGGTAGACTGGCAGGGTCAGGCATGGTGGGGCACTGTGAGCCCCAAGGAGGTACAATGGGCCCAGCTCCAGCTCCTTAGAGAAGGCTATGGTGGTCTAAGGCAGACAGCAGGCAAGGCCAGGATGCACAGGGCCTGGAGTCTTGCCCTTGGAGATGCAGAGACATCATGTCACAATAAGCTAGTGGATTGTTACATTATGTAAGTCTCAATGACCAAAATTTTCCTAAAATGCTCCTAAGATCTAATAGAAGAAAATGAGGTTTCCTTGTGGTATTACATATTAAAGAAAAGCTGCAGAAATACTGTGCTCTTAAAGATTTGACAGATTTTTTTAAAGTGAGATTTTAAAATAAGTTTTAGATTGCCTTAGCAGCAATGGTGTTTTGCTTTAGTTTTAGATTTAGAGATGAATTAACTTGAAAATTGTTCGAAGTGAAAGGTTTCAATGGTACAGTTCTCAAATTGAGAAGACCAATTTCCACCCCATTCCATATCTGACTTTTTTGTATGAAAAAATTGTACACATTTGATGTAATTCATGAGACACATGGCTATTCTTCCTCTTAATGTAATCTATAAATTACTGTACATTTATTTATTCAAGGCTTAAAAAGGAGCACTCTACTACCTAAATTAGATTTATCCTTGGTATTATGTTTTAGTTTGCTAGAGTTGCTTTAACAAAATACCACAGACTGGGTGGTTTAAACAACAGAAATTAATTTTTTCAGTTTTGGAGGTTGAAAATCTAAGATCAAGATTCCAGCAGGATTGGTTTCTCCTAAGGCTCACCTTCTTTGACTCAGATGGCGGCCTTCTCTTTATGTCCTCACATGGGCTTTTCTTCTGTGCTTGCACATCCTTGGTGTCACTTCCTCTTCTTATAAGGTCACTGGTCGTATTGGATTAGGGTTTCATCCTTATGGCCTTGTTTAATCGTAATTACCTCTTTAAAGGCCCTGTTTTTAATTATAGTCACATTGAGGGTTAATGCTTCAACATATGAATTTGGGAGAACACAGAACGCATAAGAACTGTGTTAATTTACAATGATATGGGACATAGAAAAGAGATGTAAAAAAGTGGATACTTCAGAGCCTTAGATTTTAAAGACATAAAAATACTGTATTTAAAATACAGTACAGTTGACTCATGAACAACGCAGTGGTTAAGGGCACCAAACTGAACTACCCTCAGTATCTGTAGGGGTTTGATTCTAGGACCACCACAGATACCCAAATCCTCAGATGCTCAAGTCCCCTATATAAAATGGTGTAGATCAATACGTACAGTCAGCTCTCTGCGTCCTTGGACTCCAAAACGTGGTGGAAAAACAGTACAGGCATTTATTGAGAAAAATCTTAGTGTAAGCGGACCCGTGCAATTGTGGACTGATGTTGTTTCAAGGTCTACTATATATACAGATTTCAGGGGAAAAAAGATTAAGGCAGAAATAACTGTATTGAGGTATGGGGAAAAGACCATAAATTTTCATAGAAGTAATTTAGATAAATCTTCCAAAAACTTAGAAATCCAAGAAGTGTTCGTCAGTTCTTGTCACAGTTGCTAAAGTGTGTGTCATAATACGTTGCCAAGGAAGTTGTCATACCCGTGGAGTGAAGTACTTCCCAGTCATCTTCATCCCTTGGAGCATGTTTTATTTTTGAAGCAAGAAGCCATCATGGGAGACCTTCTTTCCTTGTTTTGGGAGGTGGATCCTCCCCCCATACCTTTAAGTTTTACCATTCCAAGTCAGGATTATGAGTGCCGGAAGGATGACTCTTGTGGGGCAATAGGGAGCTTCTTGCTTTGGTATTTTGTCGTTATATTGGCCTTGATGTTCTTCTCTCGGGCTTCTATCTGGGTAGGATATCCTTTTTCATTTTAAATAATGTTTACTGTATACTAAGGGATTTGCCATAAAATAAATTCACTTTACTTTGATGAAACTAATTTTTAAAAGTTTATTTTCTAGCATTAAAAATAATGCAGTCTCATGCCAGAGAATCTAAGAATATGGAAAAGGAGGAAGAAAAAATTTTAAATTATTGTTAATCCTATTTCTTAGAGGTAATCACTGTTAATACTTTGGAGTATGTTCTTCTAGTTTTGTTTTGTTTTTCTTTATCCTAATATATCTCTCTCCACCTCTCTATCTTTGATCTTCCATGCTTGGCATTATTTTAAAGTATGTATTTTCTTATCTTGCTTTTTTAAAACTTAATATTGTAATACTTCTCCAAATTATATTCACACAGCAACACCCTTAGTGACTGCATAATTTTATTTTATGGTTGCACCATAACAAACTTGCAATTTTGAGATATTTATGTGGTTTGCAGTTTGTCCATATGCTGCATAACACTGGGATAAACTACCCTACTGGTTAATGACCTCCAAATTCCTTTTGTAGCCATGTAATCCTAATCACAGAGAAAAAAAAGCTGTCGTATTTATAGGATATATGTTGTAGCATTTTGGGGTTTCAGAATGGGGTGATACACTCTCCGCATAGAATGAGCTGCAGAACTAAACTAATCTAGACAGAACCGAAGTCACCACTTTAGACCACCGACCAGCAGAAGAAAATGCCATCCTCTTAGGAATGAGATAGCCCACTTTATAAGGACATATTATGAGTAACTGAGCTCTTATAAATCACTGACATGGAATCCTTGCTGGCCATTAATACCAGGCTGAAGATTAATCAAATCACCACCATTTAGTATTGTAGCCAGAGCGCTGGATGGGCAATGGCCAGCTAGACTGAGTGCTGTATCAGCTCTAGATGGAGAGGTTTGTTATGTCTATGCCAGCTGATTCCATTATAATAATCAAGCCAGAATTAAATTTATCTAAAGTCTAAATGCTGCTTAAGGTAGATACTTTGCCAAAAGGAGATTTAGAATAGTGATAGCTTATATGTATCTTAGACTCCCTAGCTAAGTATATTGAATTTGTCTGGTCTGGCAAGAAAAGCTACTTTAGAAAATTAACAAAGAATTGAAATTGATTCCTGGCAATTTCATCATGAAGACCACTTAAGAGGTCTAAGCTAGTCGTATGCTTCCCTGCTTGCATCAGCTCTTTGGGTCACAGATCTCTGAACTTCAAGGTCCTCAAGAAAGCATACAGTCCAGTCTCCTGTTTGTAGGCAAAAATGATACTAGTATCTCTCCTTTTTTTTAATTGATAATGCCCAAATAAATTGAGTGATTTGCCCAATCTCACACAAGTAGTTAGTGACAGAGGGGGCAATAGACCCAAGTTTCCTGCCATATCATTTGTTTGCTTCAAAGCGTAGTTGAAATGTTGAATTAAATCTATTCAGTGCTGATTAAAACCTTAATTATCTTAGAGGTTTCATCTTTCACTTTGTTCCCTTATGGCAGCTAAAATCAGCTAAACTGCTTCTTCTGAAGGGTCCCAGATTTGAAATCTGAGAGCCATATGAGAACTAGTCAGGGAGGATGGAATTTTCTCTTCACTTTGAACTTCATTTTCACTGCTAAACTCTGAGCCTTTATTTACAACCCTTGAAGTAATGGTAAAAGCGTGATGGAAATGTGGTGGTAATTATCCTTAGACGTGAAGCACAGTGATTGCCTCTGGACTCGCCACTTTTTAAGATGCATTTAACCTTTTGCTTTCAGAGACTACCGTATTCTATGTTTAGTTCATGTATTTGTTTAGTGTTTAGTCAGACTGCTAGTGCTAGAATTTTCCCAAACAATACCAGTCCAAGCTTCTCACTTTGCCTATGTGGAAATTGAGCTGTTAAGTGGAGGAAGTAGAGGTGTTAAGTGGCTTGGTAAAATCAAAGTTGGTTAGAAGCAGAAAGGCTTAGCCAAAGCCCAGATCTCTCCCACTCTATCCCGAGGTCAGGCCCTGCTGCTCTTTTCATTCCTTGAGTCACATAAAAGACAGTAAAACACTTTTGGTGACTACAGTTCATATGATTCTACTTAGCTTGATGCAAAGTCTTTCTTCTGATTTTGTGATTATATTTTGATTTGACATCAAGTCAAATATGGAAGCTTTCCATGAAAATGATATAAACCTAATAAGTGTTTTTAAACACCTTCTCCCTCCATTACAAAAGTGTGCATTATAGAAAATGTGGAAATGGCAGGAACGTAGAAAAATGACATAAAAACCACTCCAAACTACATAAAGTAACCGACTACTATTAATGTTTAGGTTTATAAATGTCTAATCTTTTAATAATCATCTCCATACATATTACATTTAAAATAAGCTCCCCCCCGCAAAAAAAAAAAGTTTTTTAAAAAGAGGTATCTTAAACGAGGATTTCACTCTTAAGGTTTTTAGGGAATGGTTGCAGTAACCCAAAAAACAAAGAGGTACCTTGTTTGAGATACTTGCCTACCATTGTAGAGATCAGATATTAAGAAAGGAATGGGTGGAGGATCTTAGATTGCTGTTTTAAATACCCCAGTATGGAATGTTCCAACCCCAAAGAACTTTCTATGTAAATTTATTTTTTCCCTCATTGTAGACAATCTGAAAAATTAGAAGGAAAAAAATCACTTTCACCACTCAAAGCTAACACTTATGTACATCCCTTAAAGTCTCTTTTCTTTTCATATTTTCAGCTAACTTGTGATTATACTGCATATATATGCATCTTGATTTTTAACTTAATATTATAACACTTATTTCCTCATGTTATGGCATATTTTTATTATAATAACTTTTACAACTACATATTATAATCGTATAATTGTAACATAATTTATTTAACCATTGCCTACTTTTGAATTTTGTATTTTATGTTATCCTAATTACACTGCAATGAATATTTCTGTACACAAAGCTTTCTCTCTTTTGGAGGTTCTTTCCTGGTGATAGAGTCCCAGAAGAATTATTATGTGTCAAAGTGTTATGAGTATTTCTAAAGTTTCTGATACATTATGGAAGAGAAGAGGTGCTTTATATTTGTATCATTCGGCAAAACCATTTTCAACATCAAAGAGTGGAACACTGACCTGAAAAATGGGACAAATATGTTTATGGAGTATTGCGGGAGAATATTTGAAATTATAACTATTCAGAGAAATCCATTTATTCTGGTCTCCATATTATGGATAGTAAATTATGGACATTATGGTTGCATTTTGGAGATATTATGGTCGCATTTTGGAAGAAAGTTTCTGAAGGATTTAGGAGATATTAAGTCTATGAATTCAGGTAAAGATATGAAAGAACTATTCATAACTGATAAAATGTCCTGTACAAAGTAATTTAAAACTAACTTTAGTACTATCAAACCCATTTTAAAATGATAAATGATATTTCTCTATAATGTAAGTGAGTACAGGAAAACTTTATAATCTATAGCTCCTTATCAGTATTATTTTCTCTCGTTTGTTCCATTTTGCTTAGTTCAAAACATTTTGTTAGATTATGCTACCAAAGCATGGTCTGCCTAATTGGCAGCAGAAGTAGGATCACTATACTGTAATAGGAATTCAATAAGTATTTACTGAACTGCATTAAATGTTTAAAATTAGATGTGGTCAAAGGGCCTAGGGCAATAGTATTTTTTAACAAGTACATATAAGTGAAAAACAACCAACTGAGATGACTATTGTGTGTGTTACATGCCATGGAGTTGGCTCTGACTCCTGGTGACCCTATGAGCTAGTGATGTCCACCATGTCCCATCGTCAGCAGCCCTGCTCAGCTCCTATAGACTCATGCCTAGGGCTTCTTTCATGGAATCATCCACCTCTTATTTAGTCTTCCTCTTTTCCTGCTGCCTCCTCTTTTTCCCAGCATTGGTGCCTTTTCCAAAGAACCCTGTCCTCTCATGATGTGCCTGAGGTAGGGCAGCTTCAGTTTTATCATTTTTGTCTCCAACGGTGTTTCAGGCTTAATTTGCCCTAGGACCGATGCACTTGTTCATCTTTCTGGCAGCCCAGGGTATCTATAGAGCTTTCCTGCAAGAGCATACTTCAAATGAATCTTTTTTTTTTTCCTATCAGTCTTCTTCACTGTTCAGCTTTTGCATCCTGACATAATAATTAGGACTTTGAGGGTATGGGTGATCTGAGAGTGTGGATGATGTAAGATCACTATCACTAATCTATATTTCTGAAATAGATGTCTGAGAAGAAAAAAGATGAAGACAGTGGGACAAGCACTTCAGTAAGTAAAGGTGAGAGCCAATGCATATTTGGTACTTCAGTAAGTAAAGGTGAGAGCCAATGCATATTTGGTACTTCAGTAAGTAAAGGTGAGAGCCAATGCATATTTGGTATTGGACTATGATGGGAGAAATATGTGCTGACTGTGAAAAGCAAACAACAGAGGTGATCGGCCAAGAGCCTTACAGGGCCTCCCCAGACCTGTGGTGGCCCATTGGATGAGCTGCTTGCTATAGTGCAGGTAACTTCCTGCTTTAGCAAAGGCTACACATTACTGGTAGGCAATGCTCAAGTTCTCTTTTCATTCCTCAGCATTCTCCTTTTCATACATTCTCCCTTTTACATACATTTGTGGTTAGAGTTTACTATAAGATTATGAGCTATAAATGACATCCTTTTCAATAGCCTATAAGCAGTGGTGTGCTGGAAAATATTTAACAACTGGCTCCTCCAAAATGAGTGTGTGTGTATATAATTTTAAAAATATATTGAAAAAAGGATATACATCACATAATTTACAAGTAATAAAATATGTAATACTCTTTATGATAAATTCCATATAGACCACTGATTCTCAAAAATAGTTTTCTTGATTTTTGTCAAACCCTCACATCCTTAGCCGACCTACAGCTGCAACTGATAAACAAGTGTAGTTCTAAGATAACTCTTACTTTCCCTTAAGTTAAAGAGTGAGATTAAAGAAACTAGATAATATATGTTGGAACATAACTTGGTTATCAGTGATGTGGGTGACTTCTTTGCTGAATTGGATAATAGTTTTAGAATACTCTGGAGGAATATTTCCTTATTTTTGGGTGCTATTCACAATACGAGCATGACACTTTTAAATGTAATCTTTGTTAGTAACATGTTCTCTATCGCTTTAAACCTAGGCAATCAACAAAACCATAAATTGAGACCTGATTTTTAGTGCTTGTTGATTTTTATCCCACCCAAACTGATTTCAAGTTATCAACATGACATCACCAAACATGGAGTTGGGAAGAGATGCACAGTAGCACATGATATTTCCAACACCCAGATACAACAGACAAATAGCTTCAAGAGCATACACCATAATAAAATGTAATAAAATAATTAGGAAGTGATGTTTTGAGCATTATGTTTATTTGTTTAAATTGACTTGATGGTAAATTTGGATAATTTAATTTTTACTAATGGCTGTGTTTAACAACCATCTCACAAAATTCCTGAAAGCTTAGCAATCAAGTTCTTGCAAGCTGGTTGATGCAAGCCAACTCCAGCACACCAGTGTTTAAAGAAAAGACATTTTTTAGTTTCCTGCTACCCAAATCACATTCACATATGCACTTGAGTCTTTAAAACTTCAAAGCAAAGGAGAAAAGTTTGGAGACTTTTCTCTTTATCTGCTGTCAAGGTCCATGAAACTTCAAAAGTAATATATTAAGCATCTATTTGACCCTTCTGGTTTTGGGGAGACTTGGTATGGTACTAGAAAATGCTGTCGGCAGCCAACACTTGCAAATGAGCGCAGAAAAATGGTGGCTTGGCAAATGGCAACTAAGAATGAATCCACACGTGCCATAGGCTTCTTTAGGTAATATGAAGTTATAGTAACCTAACTTGTTACTATAGTGTGCCTAACTTGTTGATTTGTTTCATTCGTTGTTAGCAAGCAAAGATACTTCCTCTAAAGAGCAAAACAAAGATGGTGACTGGGACACTCTACCAATGACGAAAAAGCCAAAGCAGAGCCCACTTACCCCTGTAACTGACTCCGAAGTGGCCTTGGTCAATGCCTACCTTGCACAAAGGCGAGCCAGGCGCCATTCTCAATTGAGCCAGGTGATGCAGACCCAACATGACAGTGACACTACCGAGTGTGACAGTGAAGAATCTAACTCGGGAGCCTCCTCGTGGAAGGAGAGCGAAAGTGAGAACCCATCCCCAGCCAGTGGTAAGAGGAGAAAAGTAGCTCAGAGCCAAAAGAACGCGGGGAGTTACCAAATCAGGGAAAGGCCCTGCCTCCACTGCAAAGCCTTGAGAACCAATGAATGGCTGACACGCCATTTCCTTGGAAACGCTTCAGAAACAGCCCCAATGAAGAGTGGTGTTCAAGAGGAAAACTCTGTTCCTGACATTAAAACAAAATTCAGCAAATTCTGAATTATATCAAGTCCTTACCTTACTTGAAGCCAAATGAAAGAAATGACTACAACACCAAAAATCACCAGAGCTCTAGGCGAGGAGGATTTACAATAAAGTCTCTCAACTAACAACAACAAAAAAACATACTTGGAATCCAAGAGGTAAAATTTCAGATAATTCTTTGTTCAAAAACAGGCCAGTGAATTTGTTTATGGCACCATTGGAACATCAAAGACCATCCACTATGATTTTTTATTCAATAGAGCACAAGACAGATATTTTATTCCTTGAGTGTATGTATTTCGTTTATGTCTGTAATACTAATAAGGAAGCTCTTTGAAAATATATTTATGTTCAGAAACCACCATTTACATTTATTCATATGTTTTGATTAGGTGATTGACTGAATGAATTAGGTGAAGTTGGTTAGAAGAGAAATGGCCCATATTCTTCAGGTCCATATTTTTAGGTGACTGACTCTACCTGAGCTGAATTGCTGCACATGTGTCAGCAGCTAGAGGCTGGTGAGGTGGAGGAGCTCAAGACCCTGGAATAGGACCTCCGATTCCTAGAGTAGAGCAAGGAGGGAAGGTGGACCCAGAAGGGCAGCTGGGCTGTGGGCTGTCCATGGTTATTGTCCAAAGGGCATGGCAAAGAAAAAATTATTCTGACACTTGTTAAAATGGCAAGGAAGACTTTATTTAGACTGTCATGAGTCAAATCTGTTGCAATAGGGGAGAGAAATCAAGCTCAACTCCAAATATAGCAAGGATAAGCAGTGATTTATGGCCAGAGAGCAGGGTAAGGAGGCCAGTGGATAGAAAATTACTAGGAGGAAACCTCAGGGGTAAACTGACCTATTAGGATCCTCGCTAAAGGCAGGCCAAGGACTTACACACATCAAAGATGGAAGATGAGGAACTTGATCAGATATCAAGGGTGAATGGACTCTCACTAAACTTACTTAGCAGCATTCTTGCTAAAACTGGACTGGTCAGGCCAAAGATAGGATGGGCAGCAAAGCTGCGATCTGGTTGAGAAGAGGGCTCAGAGGAGCCTGACTAAAGTTTGGTTAGGGAGAATCTTAATTGCAAGTTAGCTATAACCCAGACATAGTTGGGGCTGGGTTTTCCAGTTAAGTGCGGATCCCAGCAGTGGGGAATTCAGTAGGCCTAGGTAGATAGGTGACCGTTCTGAAGATCGTTCTTCAGATGGATGGCAGAACCCCAGCTGGGATATAAAACAAAACCCAGATCCCAGAGAAGAGGGCTGGCCAGGACAAGATAAGCAGCAGAGACTCTGGTCACTGGGCTAGAGTTCAAAGAAGGGCTTTAAGTCTTAGAGGAGAACTTCCGTGCTATATATGATAAAGTCTGCAACATAATACTAAGGATTGAGCCTTTTATGGGGCGGGGGGAGATCACAGAGCTCTGATTTGGGGCTCAGGAGTCACTCTGATAATAGCAGCTTCCTTAACTGATTACAACAAAGAGATAACAGCGAGGTAGGGTGGGAGCCCCAACCATAAGAACTAAGCCACTGAAATCCAGGGTATGGGGAGCCATTTATAAGCTTATTTGTGGAGACTCCCTTATTTAAATGGTCTCAAGATTGCAACAGGTTTGAAGCTGTGAGTGAAAGGCAGGACTACTTCAAGATTCGGCTCAAGCGGCAACCTTTCCCATGGAGACTGCTTTTATTTCTCAACGTCCTCCTCCACTGTATTCCTTCAGGCAAACTCGCTATGCCCTCCTTTTATGCTCTAGAGTACCTCGAAAAGTCCTCCATCTCAGCACCCTTAACATTTTAATGAATATATTTGTTTGCAAGTCTCTCTTTCCCCTATATATATGTAGATACTCTTAAAGGTAGAGTCCATGATTTGTCACCTTTTTGCATCTGTGATCCAGCACTGTGCCAGACAACGTGACAGATAAATAAACCAGTTGAATCAATATATGACAGGGATTCATGAATTCAAACAGGAGGAGCTTAGGAAAGCAAAGGCAGAGAAAGCAAGGCAGGGACAATATCTAAACCTTAGTGAATGATTCTGATATTTGTAACTTGATATAATCAAGATGCTTGTTTTGTTTATCGAGCACCAAAAACAAAACTCCAAAAAACAAACACCAAGGTCAAAATATAGTAATAAGTTGAAGAGGCAGGATTTAGACCCAAGTCTCCGGACTTCAGAGTTTGGGCTCTTCATTACCATGATTTTGCCCATTATTCTCTGAAGATGGACGATCCCGACTTTAAGGTAAGTGAATCACCACCCCCCACACATCCATAAGTGATGGCCAAGCAGATATAATCTCACCAGGAAAAGATGACTATTTTCTAGATAACAGAGTAAGGGCACAAATGTTTTGCTTGTGGATTTGGAATACCAACCAACGACACTATTATCTGAAGAGTTATTTATATTAAAGACTGCTACCTTACATGGGTCTTATCTCTGGGGCTAGAACAGATCAGAGTTATGGGGTGGAAGATAGCCACCTACAGGAAGAAGGAATGAGGGTTGAGTTAAGCCAGGGACTGTAAATGTGAGGGGATTAGCCAGGGTAATTTGTGAGTACATTAAACCAAAAACAGGCCAGACATAGCTAGAAGGACATCTAAAGACAAGGAAAGAAATGCTCTGTATCAAAACATTAAGACAAGGACGCGGTGGGATAAGGAGCAAAAGCATAGCCAGGCCTGTTGGAACTGGATTAATGAGCGAGGTACAGATCCAGTGAGGTGGGAGACAGTACATGAAACCAGGGCTGCAAACATTAGTCATGGCTGGATGTTGCTTGTTTGCAGAGTCTGGCGTGAGCTGTTGGGGTGGGGTCCTCGAGCTGTGTGATAGTCTCCTCTTTAGGCCCTTTTTGCTAAATGGGATAAGCCAGGCTGTCTCTGGTTCTTATGGTAGAAGATTGTGGCCTGTTTGGGTGGCTTATTTGAAGAAAGGCATGGAATTCTTGGACTTGCCTCCTATCTGTGGCCCTTCTGTGCAGCTAGCTGATCAGGACTGATGTCCATAGCAATGTCCACCTATATCATTGCAATTCTTGTCAGAAGCTGCTATGGGATGCAGGGAAAGGCCCAACTGAAACCTTCTGTGCAGCTAGCTGATCAGGACTGATGTCCTTGCAATGTCCACCTATATCAGTGCAATTCTTGTCAGGAGCTGCTATGGGATGCAGGGAAAGGCCCAACTGAGATGGATGTGGTGACAAATTAGAGTATATGCATGGTAGGTATTTGTAGGGGGTTTAGACATGGGGGAGCTGTGAGCTACGGCTACAAGGTAGACAGTCTCAAACTCTGAACCAGTATCTGCCCTTAAGGACTGAGTGGTATGATTTTGGTGGGAGGAGAGAGGAGCCAGTAGGTAAAATCTAAATAATAACAGCAACTATAATAATACTGATGATAATAGCATTTAGAGAGTGCTTGCTATATGCCAGGCACTAAGGAAAGCATTTTATGAGAATTATTTACCCTTCACAAGCCTGTAGAATAGATATCTCCCCAATTTTATGGATGATGAAACTGAGGCTTAAAGAAATTAAATGATATACCCAAGATCATATAGCTGATGAGTGTGGGGGAGCTGGATTTTGTCTGACCACTAAGATTTTGTTTTTACCGTGATGATAATACATTATCCATGTTCTCAGCGGAGAGTGATTAGATAGGAACTTGGGAGAACAATACCCAATACTAAACCCAGTCCAAAATGAACACAGGCCTGATCATGAAAAATGGAGCCAAGAGTCAGCAATGGAGCAGAGACGGGAGCATTTCAGCAAAGCTGGAGAGGGTTCACGCCACTGAGTGGAGAGGCCGCATGAGCATCTCTTGCCTTATCTGCATTGGGTCAACCTGGCCAGCTTCTCCACCAGGAGATCAGACCGAAATTCAGGGTGATCTTTAGAAAAAGGAGGGGGAATGAAAAGGGTTGGAGAGGGTAGGAATGAACTTTGCACTAAATTCCAAGGAACAAGAGGCAGGAGTGACTAGAGAAGTGAGGTGGATGACCACGGATTCGACCCAGGGAGAATGGGGAGAGAGTACTGTGGAGGAAACCAGAAAGCAACCGCAGTACTGCCCCACCGCCCCCCTTTCTCTCACGAAAGAATACTCTCTCCCAACAGTTTCTGGAGTAGTGTTTTCAAAACAGCGACTCGTTAATAGATTGTGAAATCAATTTAGTGGGCTGTGACTAGCATTTATTAGAAAATAAATAGAAAATAACAGAGCATCACACATAATAAGGGTAAGTATTGTTTTTGTTTCAGTGCGTGTGTGTACTCCGTTGCAATGCGAAATGTGTTTCTTGCTATGGTAAAATAAAAAATAAAAGCCACCGTTCTGGGGTTTTCTTTGTGAATTTTCTGATTTAGCCAGCTATTTTACTAAGTTAGTAAAGGCAGTTGTGACCCTGTGCATTCCTGATTGTTGTGTGCTAGTAATTAGTAAAATCTTCATCCATACTTTAGGATGGACCAACTGTCTAGATTAGTGAAAAGCTTGAATTAAATTATACTACTTTGAAAGAACTTTAGGTTTATTATTTCCAAATAGAGTAAGTGGAAGCAAGTAACCAACTGTTGCCTGGTGTATAGGGGTGGTTTAGCCTTGGTGAATAGACAAGAGTAATTTGTAATTGACATTTCAAAGAAGTCTTAGAAACAGGCCAGCCTTTGTTTAAATCATAATTACCCTGTTTGTATGTAAAAGGATACTTCTAAAGCTTTTCAAAACAACTGGTTCTTTTAAGTAGATAATTATTCCCCTTCCAATCTTGTTTACACTATTCGGAACTTCAGTGAACTCTCTCTCTCTCTCTTTCTCTCTCTTTTTTTTTCCATAGATAGTACAAAGGTTAACTTCAGCCAGCCCTTCCTCAAATTATCACAAATTCCCAATTAGTGAATTCTAAACAGGGTTTCCCTGTAACAATATACCAAAGACTCGTATGATGTGTTCTTTATTGCTTTGAATAACATCTGACAAGTTTCCAAGTACCAGGCCACCTGGATATTCTCTATCTGTCAGGAACATGTGGTCACAGAGGTACATGGGAGGGTGAGGGGAAATACAAATCAGACACAGATATGCAGGGGTGGGGAAGGA